TTGAAAACTATTACATAAATTATTAGTGGACAGATTATTTAACCACTCATAAATAGTTTTGCTAGTTTTACCAATTTCAAATTCTGGTAACGATTTTAACAATCTGAGTTCTGCTTCAAGTTCACTGTCATTTAAATTAAACCTATTGGAAAGTAAAATTAAGTCTTGTTCATGCAGCTTAAACTGTAATAAACGTCCAATTGCACTTATTAGTAAAAGTGTTTCTTGACTAAAACGTTCTTCTAATCCGTTTAAAAGGTCATCTAAAACTGTGTAGTACACAAAACATTTCATTTCTGTTTTTTTGTCAGAAGTAAAATGTTGAGTATTGTTGCTGTCAATTCGACTAGACACTTTTCTTTGTTTTACATTTGGTATCTCTATTTTTTGTGAACTACAAATGTCCAAAACTTTGTCAAATAATGTTGAATAGTTATCTTCATCAGTTCTTAAGTCAGTTAATGATTTCTTTAGTGCTTCAACAATTGATACGGCAGCTAAGAGGTCTAGGTCTGGTGATTGCAACTTTGCGCTAACTATGCGAATTTGAATCAGAATAGGTTTTAAAACCGTTAAAGCAAATATAAAATTGAAACTTTTTAGATTGTGGATAAGTCCATTTGCTTTTAATCTCACATCAGCTAATTTTGTAGTCTTATATATTTCTGAAAGACACTGTACTAAAGAATCATAATTATGATCAACTGCTTCAATAGCTTCTGATCGGCACGCCCATCTGGTTGTCGATAACGATTTTAATGTTTTTAATTTATTATTTGTTTGTTGAGATATTTTTTCTAATACAGAATGTCGAATTGGACTTCCCTCAACAAAACTAAATATCATTTGAACACACCCAAAAAAATCAAAAACTACACGATTTTTATGTCCCAATGAGTCCACTAAAACCAGATTAAGGCAGTGACCATAACAATGTATATACTGAATTTGAGGATTTTCAATTTTAATTTTGGCTTGAACACCATTATTTTTGCCAGACAATGTAGCAGCTCCATCAAAACAAACAGCCAAGACCGAACTCCAATCTACATTAATTTCTTTAATTTTTTCAGTTAAACTGTTAAAAATTGAACTAGCGTCCACTGCATGTAAACGTTGTAAGCCTATAAATATTTCAGTTGGTTTATTTTTCGAAGGATCAAAAAACCTTACTACAACAGACATTTGCTCGTGATGGCCCACATCACTTGTTTCATCTGCACATACAGAAATAAGTTTATTTTTTATTTTTGATGAAATTTTATGTTTCATTACATTGTTAATTGATTTCAATAAATCATTTTGGATTAAATTACTGGTATATAGTACATTCTTTTTACCATTATCTATGTGATTTCTTAAAGTTTCATCATACTTTTTAAGAACACTTACAAAGTCTAAAAACATACCTTTACAAACATTGGACTTTTGTTCGTTGTGTCCTCGGAAGGGTTTACCACTTTTAGCTAAACATAGAGTGATGTCAATTAGGCGAACCAATACACTGCGATTATGTAAACGTTCTTTTTCTCTCTGACTAATGGCCATAATTCTTGACTCATCTAATGCAATATCTATTGATTTAGAACTTAAAAAATTTTTGTTTGCAGTCATGGAGTGAATGTGGGATTTAGATTTTTGATGGTCTTTAAACTTTGTAGTTGCCTTATTCCAATTTTTGAAACCATGACGTGAAAATGTAAAATCTATTTGGCCTTTATTGAGTCCATCAGATGAATTAAATAGTCGACATTTGAAGCAAAATGCTTTATCCACTTTAGGACTATATTCCAACCATTCAAAATTATCAAACCATGATTTATTGAAACTACGTACAGTACTACCAAATTTTGTCCTTGGATACAGCTCAAGTTTAGGCTGAAATGGTCCACGTTCAACTCTGGATTTCCTTTCAAGTTGATGAATAGGCAATGCATTCGATGGGTCATCAGGATGAATAATAGATTCATGATTTTCACATTTAACCTCTAATCAAAATTTAAAATTACAATAGGTCACATTTTAAATTAAAATTTTCAATTTACTTCAAAAAACAGAAAATTAATGTTTATTAATCAACATAAACTAGTATTTGGTACAATTAAGTAATAATAAAAACATTATATTGATAACATTGTTAAAATAACATGGTAAAACATATCAAATTAGGACACTTAAAAAATACCAGGTTAATTTTAATATATTACATATACAATATATATTACATAAGACAAAAAATGTTAATTTCGATGAAAATTGGTACAGACATAGATTAGAAAGTTGGGGAAGAACCTGATAATATACTGCTCGCATAATCATAAAAACGCATTGCCGTGATAGCTAGAAAACCATGTCAGTAAAACCTAAAGTTAATATATTTTAATATATACAAGTGTTACAATCTAGTACTACCAATAAAATCATTGGATTATTATTATTAGTTAAATAAATTTAATCTACATTATCTAATGAATATTCAAAACAAATAATTAACACATACCTTTACCTCGAGCACACAACATATTTAAGACTCATAAAGAAAACATGAATACATAGGTTTAAACGCAAATTAAATACCTGTTGATACTGTTATAGGAGGGANGTCCTATAACATTTTCTTTGGCTGTTTAGAAAACAGATACAATTAACATTTAAAAGTAAAAATAGTAAAATAAATTGATTTTTATTGAATGTGTATATTACCTGTAGTTGATACACCTGTATTTGGAACAGAACTAGTACTGGCTATAGGTCCCTTTGGTACATGGTTCCAAAAATCATTCAATGTCCTTTTATTACTCATCATTGGTTTAATATGATATTATGATATTAGAATATGGACATTAGTTACTAAAATTATTGATGATATTTGATATTTTAAAAACTAAATTTTCATAATACTAGTAGGTAATAAATAATAATAATGAAAATAATATAATTGATAACTCAAATTACATCATGTTATCATGATATATAGAGGGGAACGCCGAATATATCCATAGATAATAAATCGTTATTATCACGTAATCTTGTTAATTGTCCCTAAATTTTGGTATAGTACAATTGGTATGTTCGGACAAATGCATTTGACCCACTTTTGATTTTGATGCTACCGCTTATCAAATATATAATAATATCAAGTCTGAATAGAGTGGTTATGTAAATCTAAAATTTTAAATCCAAGGAATATCTTAGTTCCTGCCACCTGAAGTCGCAGGGGGTGCAGGTGCATACCCTGCACCCCCCGTGGACACGCCTATGAATTTCACCCAAAAGCACGAATTAAGATATACAGGATACGAAACGACGTGCCTTATCAGTAATATATTTGAAGCTCTGACCTTCTCATCTTGCGGCCAGACACTTAGCGCTTGAAGAGGATACCGGTAGAATAAGGAACTAATTCAATATAATAGGTAAAATGTATTTTTTTGACTATACCTACTTTAACACTTATTACTATAAAACAAATAGTTATTAGCAAATACTTTATACGTATATGTATTTGTTATTAGTTATTACTTAATACTTACCAAACTGAAATGAAAACAAGTTCAACAGCTTAAAAAATCAAATATTTTAAGTTTAACATGTATAAATGAATTATAAATTTTAAATATAGGCAGTAAATACCTAACAATAAATACATTACAGTTACAGTTAATTTGCAGATAATTTTGATAGCTTTTTCTTCACCCTATTTGTTGTTTTCTTTTCTTTGTTATGCATAAATGTGAACTGCCTCATTCTCATCGTCAAATATGATGTGAAAATATATTCAATAATATCAGATTTATGTTCATTACATGGAAAAGGGATTGTGTAGTTATTGTTAAAGAAATGTTCAACAGTATCATCAAAAACATTTGGACTATTGGCATTAATTGCAAATGATGTTTCAATGAGTCTTACTAAAATAAAAAAATTACTATTCGGATGAATTAAGAATCCTTTAGACTTAAGGTGGACTAGTTGAGCTGCATTGGATACAGATGAATTCCCTTCAATATTTTTAATACCTGATAAGCACACTTCACATGTAGTTTTCTTCATCAACTTTCTTGCTAAATATCTTAATTAATAAAAATAAAATAATATGTGAGTAAAATTTAAAATAGAATTTTGTAAGATTGTTTAGAAAGGATATTAATCTAATAATTAGATAGATATAAGTAGGTAATATAACGAAAAAAAATTTTTTTTGTTCTTACCCAGCCAAATAATATACAACACAGTTAAATGTTCCGTCATCATTAAAGTCAGTGTCTTTGAAGATATCATCCATGTCCCATCTACCTTCCTCAACAATGTCATCAATATAAGTCTTTAATTTAAATATTTTATTTTCTCTGACATATGACTCATCATTTTCATTCATGGCATTCTTTAAATCACTTATTGTTATTACTGGCGCATAATCTTTATCTGACAAATAATTTACATAATTTTCAATTCAATTTATACATTTGGCTTAGTAGCATTTTTATATTTTATGTTAAGGTACCTGAAGAAATTGTACAATTACCACTTTTGGGTGGTTTAACTAGTGAATAAACTGATAGTAGTCGATAAAGCTGGAGAAAGTTTGGAGTGGAAGGATGGTCATTTGGACCTGATGACTGCCTAATGATTCCAAAAAATTTCTGTAATAGAAATATATGCAATCAAAGAATTATGTATAATATGTATACATTATAGTTATTTTACTAGTTTGTAAGAATCTTATATTTTATAAAATGTAGGTATACATATTTTGTTACTGCTTATCTATGTATGTTTTAAAAATTTGAAACAAGTCAGGTCACTTTTTAGTGCGTTTTATGCTTTGGTTGATAATAAATATTACATTAAGTATTAATCTTTTAGTTAGAGTTTTTAACAATACCCATTAATTAAACATTAAAATAGCTTACTTCTAAAGCATCTTGGTTTAGTTTTGAAGTCAAAACATAGTTAAACCCACAATCGTTTAACAAAAATGTTACCAAATCAATGGTAGACTTTAATGTTATTCGTAAGGACTCTGCAGTACTTTTTGTAAGAAATTCCTTTTCTTGAATAAGTCCTTGTTGAAAATTTTTTTCCCATTCATCCAACCATATCAAACTTTGATTTAAAATCTTTAAAATTAATTTCAGTTATAAGAATTTTTACTAATGCGCCTTATTAAAACATAACATCCTACTCACATGACTTAATTTGTATAAAGTATGAAAACACAAATTTACAATTATACCACATAATATAATAAACATTGAATGTTAACTAAAACTGCACGTCTACCACAAATTAAGGTATATCTTTATACAATATTTCAATATTTGTAAGA